CAAAAGAAACTCTGAACCGTCTGGATCATCGTCTGTTGCTTGTAGTGAGTGGGGAATACCGGCGGGGAAATACCACAAGTCGCCAGGGCCCTAATGAGCAATCAATGAATGGAAGCGTACGAGCGTTCGCGTCCATGCGGCTTACCACAGTGGCTAGATAGTTACGACCTTGAGTGTCAACTGCCGAAACTTGAGTAGAACCCTTAACCAAGGAGATCAGATATTTAATCGCAATAATACCAGGCTGTATACTTTGAGAACATAGGCCCACTTCCGACCAAAAATAGCGTGTTAGTGATACGTTTCGACCATCAAACAAGCAAATAGTACCTCGGCAGTTTTGTGCCAATGCAATTCACTAAGCGTTGCCCATCAATAAGTTATTCGGCCGCCTCGACGCGTAATCACCCACCGGATAGCCCCAGGTTCCAGCCGCATATTGACACCAGCCATTTCTAAGAACGAGCGTCAGATCGCAGCAAGGCACACAAGACCGACTTACCAGTGGCGAGAGGCATGACACCGACTATCGCAGGGCAGTAAGTATCAAGGGAAGGCACGAGCATAAAAATAACTCACTATTTTCCTGGCGTGCCCAGCCACCCGTCTGCAGACGGTTGTGACTAAATGACATGGGCCATTTCGCGTTCATACTAGGAAGGAAGGGAAGAAATAATTCGCGCAGAAATAAGACTGAATTCAATGAGAATCATAGGACAGCTTACATAGTGCCTGAATCGGTGGTTGGGGGTGCCAGGAGATCTGGATTCTGCAAATCGATGGCCAGGTTATCTGGGCCTATGATGGAGGCTCCCAGAGTGCCGCGTTCAGGCTTGACGAGAGATGGGTCACTGTCCTCGCTCCAGAGGGCCTCGTTAGGGTCCGTGGAGACGTAATCGACGGTTGCAGTAGATGAAGCCGCAGACACAGTGGAGCTCGCCGCCACAGTCGCGTTGCCAGCGACTGTGGCACTCGCCGAAGTTGGGGCGGACGCGACGAGCTTGACGAGCGCTAGGATCAAAACGAAAGATCGGGAAGCTTTGAACATGGTATACCACGTAAGAGAACTCGATTGGGGTTGGAAGTCGAGATGGAGACTCCGAACTTTGGCTAGTTGTCTTATGTATTTCTGCGTTGGCTAGGACGACATGAAACGCTGTCCAGTGGGAGAATTGTTCGGATGAGATTTAGGCCTGCATGGAACGATTAGGCGGTCTATTACGCGTCAAAACGGTCGCAGACATAAGGTCGCCCAATAGAATAAATTCGCCGTGTCCACATTGACAGCTTTTTCGAGGATGGACACATGTGGTGGATCGCTCAGAAGGGGAAATATGGAGAAAAGATGTAATTTTTTGGTCTGGTGACGACGAGGGTAAAGGGGATCAGACTAGCGAAATCACCCGGGGAAGGGTACCGAGAGGCAGACTCTGCAGGGAAAAATCGGGCGGAGTAAAGATGAATGTTTTCAATGCTCAACAGACCGGACAACAATGTTTCCCTATCAATTGGCGAGTCAGAGGTCATCACAATTTAATCAGAAGCTCACAATGGCTCAATCTAAAAATGTAACAGTACCTGAAGGCTGTAACGAATCGGTAACATTGACGGCCACAGGAAGCCTTCAGTCCAAAGGCAATTACTTGGAGATTTTGCGGTCCTTTAGTCGTCGATTTGACCTGACACTTGGGCGCGACGCTTGAGAAAAGACAAATCCTGTCCTTCGTCATCAACCATGGACTAGAGACTAGTACGCCCATTCGTGACTTTGGGGATGCCTAAACTGAGGAGAAATTCATGAGTCATGAGAAAACCGGTTCAAGAAACGGTCAGAAAGAAGTAATGGAAAATTACTGCGCCGTGTGAGGAATTCTAGGGGTGCGGACATGTGGACGTTCGTTATCGCTACATCGAGAGTAGGCGCGAACGATACAGCGGAGCCATAAATAGACCAACAGCAGATGGACGCTTTTGCTTACAGTCCTCGACTTAGTCCAATGGCCTTTCCTTTAAGCAAGTCTACTTCAAAACCATGCACTAAGATCGCCGCTGTGATCCCTCGTTTCGCTCGTATTTCACGGTAGATAATGCAGCTCGTACTGCGCAAGGACGCAAGGTTGAAGTTCGGAGGATCCAGATCATCATCGTCTATTTATACAGCAGAGATGAAACAATAAGGGCCAATAAGGGGGGGATGTGATAATAATAGAGTGCGTACCCAATAGCAGCCAATGGCGAGGGCCGCATGACTGAAGCACGAGGCTTTAGTCTTTTTCTGTACCATTTTGGGCCCTTTTCTCCCTTCTTATGCATCTGAATACCGTCAGCAATTAAGCGGCTCCTTTGTGTAACGTGCAGAACTGATAAGTATATTGGATGAGGTGCGCAATGTAGTTTCTCGAATCATTATTGCGCCACAGCGGAGGAGAATCCTTTACGAAGCTCCTCGCTTTTGAGTAGCACTTTTTCCCTCGGTCAGCTCAAAGTTCATGAGGCTTTATATTGTCTGGCCTTGGCTTTCGTTGGAATGATCACTGGGAGACAGTGGGAGCGGAATTGACGAGGTACTAAATAAATTGAAAATGTTCCACCGTCAGTGATCATCTGGAATTAATGGAGCTGAAATACCAATTGATAAAAGCATATGCTTTCAGGAATCTTAATCAGCGCTTCAGGACCCGTCCAATCTGTAACAACTAAGTGCTATTTTTGTTTTTACTAACTCACCTTCAGGGTTGAAACTTGAAAGGATGGCTACAGCAACAGAGGGTCGGACTCGTTAGTAGAGGCGCGCGGCTACAAAATGACGTCGTCAAACCAAGGTGATTCTCAGACTGAAATGTGATTCACTCCTTGAATGCTGAGGTTAAGGTTCAACTTGAAGGGCTTAGTGTCGCGTTGGCGGAAGCAGTAGACAAACATGGCAAGTCTTTTCGTAAACAAAGCGCATCTTGAACGGCCCGGTCGTACGGTGTTTCGCTGAGCGCTCAACTCACGCTCCACGGACCAATTGGCTCACGACATCAGCTTCTTTTTACAGCCTTTTGAATTGGCTTCGTCGCGGGCTCTCCGGCCTCCCTACGAAGAATTTTCCGTACACTCCTTGGCTAGCATACAAAGACGCATGAGGCATTTTGAATTGATTTTACAGTAGGGTATGAGATCCTCCGAAGAACGATTGTGACTTTAGCAGGACACCATGCACCATCAAGTGCCCTCCAAATTCCTCACAGGCGCGACTCTTTGCCTCTGTAAAGACCCGAGGGAGCATCAATTCTTAGTTCATCGAGATTCGAGCCATTCAACCTGGTAAGTGCCATATTATGGGACATGCGTGGCATGCCATCGCGTCTCCACGACCACGTTGAGAATGCATCATATTACTCGACTTGTTTCCCACAGCTGACCAAACTTAACAACCATGTAGTACAAAACGGTGAGCTGGACGTAAGCACTATTTTCAACTGCGGTCGCTTATGCATAGGGGTTCGATCTCGGTCACGACGGGTTCGTACGTATCCAGGTGATTCCAGACGGCGATCATTGCTCGTTTCAAAATTAACGAAGAAATGGTTCGTATGTGGAGACGAATTATAAAAGACGTGAATACCAGGTGGTAGAACATCCGTAAGGATGTGATGTATTACTAGCATTCATGACAGCCTTTGTACGGGCAACGATGTGCTGCGATGAAAAGTTAATGAAAGCAGAAGTGGTTACGGCCGAAGAATACATACTATTTTCTCCCACATGTACAACTGCTACATGTGTCTTAGGTGCATACTGTTTCCAAAGGATTGACTGCATCCTTTGTGCAAGTATAGCGCCCATCGGGCCCTCAACCCTAAGATCGCTCGGCATGATTACGCAACTCAATAATCAATAAGTGATTCGAGGATCCCGGCGTAGTTCCGAAGCCAGTTTAGCTTGAGACGTATGATACATTCACTACCATCAAGAGGCTGATAGATATAGCGTACGGGAACTCGAGAACCTGGTGTCGCGTAAGCGGAAACGCCTAAAGAGGGAGTTTCCAGCGAAAGAAATCGTGTTGGAAGTTGGCTAATGGAGTTCGTAAGGAGCATAGACCGGAAGGGTGATGGACCTGTGGTGGGTGTAAAAGCCCGCGACACTGTTTATTTCCCATCAGAAGAGAAGTTAGAATATGCGATCTATGCTGAAGGAGCATCCCCACGATCCACCGGATGCCGTCAAGGCAGGGAGCTCACGTCTCGTGCCGATGCTGAAGTCTCCTTCCTATTCTTCGGGAGCCCCAGGCCCCTTCCGCGACCCATACATTGACAGTGACAGTTGCACAGAGAATTGTCACCAACCATTGCGTGCTGCACAACGTAGACCGCTCAGTCCTCAGATGGAAATTTAGCATGAAGATCAAGATTATGACGAAGGACATGTGGAAAGACTGTGTAGGATTTGTCCGTAGCAGCGGAATCCTGCACTGTGCGCACGTTCCCAGATTATAGATAACAGAGGGTGATCCGAAAGGCGTGGGGACTGTTGGTCGCCTATAGTTTTTCTGGGCATAAGTCTTGAGTTAGCACAAACGACGAAGCAGATAAGGGATAAATATACTGGGAGGCGTTAAAGGCGCCCCCAACTGAACGCGTTCGAAGATATCTCGCTCAGTCATCGGTAATGCCTGCGTATTGTATTCAAACAATTTGTTTGCGTGCAAAAGGTCTTCGAAGTGTTTCAGGAAGGATACTTTTGGGATGGCCCAGTGTTACTGCCGGATTGTCCTTGTACGAGTAAGTATTAGGCTCTGGTTTTGCTAAATGTGTGGGGTAAACGCGATGTACTCTAAAAAACATAGACCAAGCTCTCTTACAGATCTTGATCTAGTTGCGTGATTGCAGAATGGGTATATAAGCATCAATCAGTGTAATTGATAAAACATCGCAAAAACAAAAGAACTCATGATGGACGGACGGGCGGCCGAATGCCAACAGGTGGATTTATAGGGAAAATAAATTTTCTAAGGGCACATGGTGTAGTTGGTTTATCACGCCCGCTTAGCATCTACGTTGTCGCTGCGGGAGGTGTTGGGTTTAATTCCCAATGTGTCCAACCATTTTGCCGCCATTGCCGCCGGCTCCCTAGGTGGGCACTCAGCACTGGGGCCGGGCTAGGGTTGCGCACGAAACCTCCAAGGGAGGTAACTTACCGTTTGTTACCGACCCCTCCCCAAGGGGGTGTTTTGATACAGTAATTTACTGTTACTTACCTATCATGTGCACAGTCACATGATGAACACGTGGTAACTGTAAATTATTTTTTCAGGATGTCCGTGTTCGTGTTTTAGGACATTTTCTTTGTCGAGGATGCTCTAAGTCATCTGAATATATGTAATTGTATTGAATTTTCATGCTTATCAGGCAGTCACATGATGTGTAAGTTACCTTGACAGAAAACCCCTCCAGCAAGGGGGGGTAACTTACCAGTAACTTACTGGTAATAAACCCAAGTGTAATGAAACCTAGGTTTCATGCGCTACCCTACACTGGGCACTGCGCTGTGCGGCCCACCATGTTTTATAATTAATTGCTTTGCATGTGATTCTTGCAGGTCCTGACTATCAATTTTTCATTATTTCTATGTAAGTAATAAAGGTGTTGGTACTTAGATTGCTAAAATCCTCTTGTATGGCCCTCTAGTGGTTAGTTTTGGAGTATTTCAGAAATTCTCTTGCTTATGATGCTTTTTCATAGAGGTTTGTCTTGCTTTAAGGAGGGCAGAGGCTGACATTTTCCCAATGTAATTTAACATTGAATGTACTTACAGGAGTCAAGACCTTTAGATTCAGAGAGTTCTTCGGCTATGCTGCAAATTATTTTCTGCGCAGTGTGGACCGATCGGTGAGATTAGTCTTGTTCCCATTCATTTTGGTGATATCCTCCTCCTCGCTAACACTTGGAATAACCGGTCCAGTCCACATGAAGTGGAGTTGAAAAAGGGAAAACGAGAATTAGGGCTGGGGGAAAAACCTCCAGGGCCTGGGGGGTCGGTATTTTACCTCGGTCATCGAAGCGAGGGGTTTTTTACGATGTATTTTACATAGTAAAATACATCATCACGTGATTATATAATATATATTTCCGCAGTGCTTAACAGATACAAGCACTCCAATCGATTGATAAATCAGTCAAAATTGATAGCATAATCTGTATCATTGACCAATGGAGGTTGCTCAGATGCGGCGCACTGTGTCTCTGCCTCATCTTCATCAGCTGTGCTGTCTTCTGTTACTGCAAGCATGGCTATCACTCGCTTTGAATTGAAATTGATAGGTGTGTTGATAGTCGCATGCTTGTCTGGCCGAGAGGGGATTGTCACCGGAGTAGCATCAAGCCATTTGTCAGATGTCTCATCGTTTTTGGGCTGTTCAACAGCAACAGATATGTCCGACGTCAGCTGGTCATTGAACTGTTTCCGAATCCCACTGAATTTGATGTTTGCAGCCTTGCTACCATTCTCCTTCTTCATATGGGCCTGCAAAATGATAATTAGTAAGGAAACGGAGGGCATACATTATGCTGATTTGTATAGAACTGCCCGATCTGTGTGACAGCAGTCATCATCGACACCTTCAATTGACTATGTTGCTTGGGAGTCATAGCTGTGAATTTCGATACAGTTCGCTCCTCAGGCATTGAATTGATATGGACAGCATAGACCTTAATTGTAATGTGCTATAGATCCACTGTGAGTCAGCTCAATGCTGACATGAAAGTCAAAGGTACGTACCAGAAGAAGCTGGCCTCCAGTATAATCGCTGGCAATGATTTTCTCAAACCATTTGATAACGGCAAATGGTTCGTTCTCGTTTACTGGGGTATTGTATGGATACGCACGCCGTGAGTACCGAAGCATTTCGTCTTTCCATGTTGCCCTGAAATCGGCTCCTCGACCAGCCCATTTCTTGAACTCTAGTCTTGCACCACTCTTGATCTCTTCAGCGGTGAGCTTTCCGAGGTATGTACTGGTAGACTTGTGAAGTGATGGATACGAAACATCCTGTAAAGACTTATCAGCTGCTTCTGGCTTGAAAACATCACTGGCAAGGTTGGCTAAGAACACGAGAGCATCAGATACTAAGTCTTGAAGAGTGTTATGTCAGCAGAAAACGCACCAGGATTCAAATGAGCCGCAGCCATGTAAAGTGGGGTGTAGTATGTGCCTCCTTCAATGAACAGATTGTTGTGCCGATGATGGATTATATTGAGGATCTCATCTCACACATCATCAGGAAATTGATTCTCATCATTCATGATGACATTGATCATTTCTCCTACAGTAGCATGCCAAAAGAGACAAACGTCTCCTGCGTTTGCATTGTTTGATTCAAGGTGGGCTAGAGACTTCGTTGGAGGCAACCTGATAGAGACTAACTGGCTGAGATTCGACTGAAATGAAAGAGCTTTGATAGAATGGATGCCGTTAGATTTATTTGGAGCACCGAAATATTCCACAAGTTTCTGCAGCCGTTAATCTAAGCATGTATCAACCTGAGAAGAGATCGTTCACTCACTGAAAAGTCAGCTTTGCCCCTCTCAATAACCTTCTGAATTGCAGGTGTACATCGTTGCACAGACCGTGAAGAGTACACCAGGGTTCCAAAGCGAGTTTTCCCAATTGCTTGTAGTCCTCGGCCAATTTTAAGATCAGAGCGAGCGATCTTAAACTTGTGTATGCCCATGTGTGAAGTATGGAAGAAGTGAATAGTTCCTCGGACGACTTTGATTGTCTGTTTACATGGAGTTAGACATACTCGATATTCAGATTGGATGCTTCACTTACTAGTTCAAAGAATGCGATTCGAGCAACATCTTTGATAAGATTGCTGAGATAGTGACAGATATCTGGATTGGGAATAATCATCTTGACATCCTCAACAAGGAGCTTCTTGCACAGATGAGTGTTTCCTGTGCTATCAGAGGTAGCTCCACAGAAACGCTCATGCCCAAGTTGATCAATGACCTAATGTTGATAAATCAGTTTCTCACGTCCACTTTTAGATATGACTTCTGAACTGACCTCAAGCGCTAGAACCTTAATCCACTCTGCTGTATGGGACACACCTGTGGCTTCTCTCGCCTCCATCAAATACACGTTCCGCTTCATGTCTGAGACATGCACTGTCCAGAAAGCTTCATGACCTGTTGTCATTCCACCATCAAATGATATCGTGAGATTCCACTCATTCCAAAGTGCCTTCAACTGAGCGTCTATGACTGCAGCCTGCTCTGTGGGAATGAGCTTATTACCCAGTTGATCACGAGAAGGAAGAGGGTATTTTGGATCTGCCAAACCCCATACATCAGTCCAGTACCACTGGGATGCTAGGTTTGTCGGTAGGCCTCCAGCACAGAACAGGATGACAGGTTTCAGATCCATCAACTGATTCCTCGCCTCCCGCCCCTTTCTTGACGACTGTTCATACATTCTTTCAACCAGATTCATCCCAGTTGATCCCTCAGTACTCCCTTCAGCTTCGACCTTTGAGCTCAATCGCAAAGTCTTGACAGCACGAACTTCATCGTTGGCGATAACATTTTTCATGGCAGCTTTTTCCTTCATCTTGGTAAGCTGGTTCGATGGGGCTAACCCCTGAAAATAGATGCTGACAAGACTACGCATTTCTTCGGTTGCTTTAATGCAGTCTCAGAAAATATGTTTTGCGACACGCTCCTTATTTCATGTAGCATGGAATTCCCTGCAACCAGGAGCAGCACAGCGATACCCCTTGGCCTTGGGGACAATGCCTGAGGTATAAACCTTCCAGCATTTGAGCGTGAGTTTCTCCATCATATCATCCTTTGGGCAGCCACCAATATCTTTCCCATCTCTATTCTTTAGCCTCGGAGGATCCTTGATATCTTCAAAATGAAATTCAGCATCATCTGGTGCTTCAGAACATTCAATATCAACAGCATAAAGTTTTCGTTTTGAGGTGTGCAAGATTTTCTTGGACATAGAAGCCTGATCCGGGCCAAGTCCAACAGGTACTAGTGTATCCATGATACGATCAAGCCCATTACGAGGAGCATCAGGATCAATGGCATTTGTGTTGGACGTTGGCTTATATGCCAGTTTATGTGAGGGTGCGGGATGTGGTACAGTGGGAGAAATGGTGGTGCGCGTTTGTGAAAGCTGAGATGAAGCCAAAACTGACTGTAAAACAGCAGGAGATTCTTGCCTCGTAACTAGCAGGTCTGACTGATCTCCTGGCGAACCAATCTATATCATAATGATCAGGTGCAGGAAGCCAATGTGTGACTAGTAAGACTTACGCTCTTGATATACTCCAGGATATCGGCAAGCATCTCAAGCTGTCCAAGAGAGCACTCACTGGAAGAAATCAACGGCAACCCAGGGAGAAAGTGATGATTGATTGCATCGATACACAGTATACCACAAGAGTAGCTGTCCTTTTGCTTTGTGGATGGTAACTGCATGACCGGAAACTTGTCAAAACCGTGTCGCTTCAGCCACCAGTGGAGCACATCAACAGCCTCTGCTGGCAATGGTGAACTGAACGAGTCCGCATAGTATACCCGGCCCTCAGAGGCATCAACGACAATTGAAGTCCAATGGTTTCCAGGTAGACTGTAGCCGTCTGAGCCTTCATTTGGAAGGAACACTTTGCCGCAGTCAGATAGCACACAAACAGGAAAGGCGAGAGATGAAAGTGAGCCATCTGCCAGCCGTAATGAGTTCGTGAAGTACTCATTGTCATCAGCACGGCGATATTTGTTAATTATACTTCAAAAGAATTCCGGGTCTGTGATATGGACTCTTTTGATGCCAGCTACATGTAGTTGTTGTCGAAGAATGGCACACATCTGCTCAAGATGAAGAGTCTTCAGCCATTTCTGGCTGCAATAGTATGCAAGTGTTGTTGTCGTCATGGCACTTGTCATGGTATTCCCTCCCAGTGCACTTGGGAGCTTGGTGTTCCAAGGTAAAGTACGAATTTGGGTGTCAAGCTTCTGCACCAAAGGGTACTTCTGTGAAAGCCCATTGAGGAAGGCAAATGCGTCTGTCCAGGAACTCTTAGCCTCGGATAT